TTCTACACGAAATTCGAACCGAAAAGAAACAAATCCTCCCAATGCTGATCAGTGAAGTACGAAACGCAATCTTCCATGTGAAAAGTGGAAAAGCTTCCTGTAACGACGGTATTAACATTGACTTCATAAGAGCATGTAGGAGCGCACTCTGGAAAGCACTCGCCGCTAGATTCAGTCGCTACCTAACTGAGAAGACCATTCCTACCAGCTGGAAGGAATCAAGGACCGTTCTGCTCTATAGAAAGAGCGAGAAAGAAGGCTTGAAGAGTTATCACTCAATCTGCTTGCTCTCCCACGTATACAAGCTGTTCACGACAATCATTACCAACCGTCTCACAGGGCCACTCGAGGAGAAACAGCCGAGAGAACAAATCGGATTTCGAAGTAAATATAGCAATATGGACAACCTCTTCACTCTAAGCCAACTGCTAGAACTAAGGAAGTATAATTTGCCCTTAGTTCTCCTTCCCGTCAATTATGAGAAGGCATTCGACAGCGTGAAACTCAACGCTCTCCTAAAAGCTCTTGTAGAAGATAGAATTGACGAGAACTATGTCGAAATCATCAAAGAAGCGAATACAGGATGCTCGATTGATATAATGCTTTTCTCAAACCCGATTTGTATGCCGATAGAGGAAGACGTGAGACAGGACGATCCTTCAACACCGAAGCTCTTAAATGCCTGCCTACAGATGATATTCCGCAAACTGAACTGGAAGGACTGTCTGAGCATCAACGCGAACAGCTGAATCATCTACGGTTCGCAGACGACATAGTATTCATTGTGAATAACGCTCGACAAATGAAAGCAATGCTGCAGAGCTCGACGAGCGAAGTAAATAAGGTGGTTTTAAAATCAGCGCAACGAAAGCGAAAGTGTCGACATGTCAGATAGAAGGGGCGAATTTGGAAGAAGTCAACCAAATATGTCTACTTGGGCCAAGAATTGAATATGTGCCATGATCTCCTCCCAGAGAATACGTCGAAGGGCTGCCGGATGGCACAAATTCTACGGCATCATCGATGTCCTCCTACCTCACAGTATCAGACCAGAAAAACCGTGTTCGTTTCTTCTACAGTTGAGGTCAATGACGTTAAGATGCGAAACATGGGCACAGACGCTGGCGAAAGAAAATATTCTGGCTGTGACAGAGAGAGAGCAATAGAACGAAGGATGCTTAGAATATCTCGTCGTGGCCGTATTCACAACACAACTCTCCGCAAAATGAGTGGCGTGCAAGACATCGTGCGAACCATGAGA